TGAACTAGACTACTGCATGTATTGAATCCTCTAACGACATATCTTCCCTTGCTGTGATGCCACACAATGTTACAAGATTTATACCTTTGACACTAAGATTGATTCATACAGAGCAACATACAATACTTGGGTGGTCAAAGTGTAGATAATAAACACACAACCATCATATTAACAACAATTCGCATGAACAAAATAAAGAGACGTACCAAAACAAACTCCAAAATATCAGAGAAGCAACGAGAGAGGACTAAGATATTGGCACGGCTCAATCAGATGAGTTAGCAAAGAGGATCTGAGTGAACCAGGCCAATATCAGAGGCACTCTCTCGAACACAGAGAGAATCTGTTTTCGATAAGAAACAAGAACAGAAGAGAGAATGTTTGTTGGGGGAAGAAGGAGAAGAAGTGAGTGAATGTGCAACTGCAAACCTGTGGAGCATTTATTAACTCTGCTACTCTCGATGCGCCAAAGCTGGGACACCTCATTCATTTAAGTGTCTCTTTTCGTTTTACCAAAACCGAGACCAAGTGAAAGGCAAGAGTTGGCATAAAGTCCTTTGTGTAACCATAGTTTCAGGAATCACACTTCTTATCAGTTACTGCTTTTGTCTTCCTTAAGTAAATAGCAATAAAGAGACATTTATTACCACAACCATATCTCCTCTTTCTCTCCGTAACCGCCTCTTTTGTTTTTGTCTGCTTCTACCCTCCGTGTATCCTTCCTAGATCATCATCTTACTAACCCCACTGCCAATTACTTCAAACTAAGAGACTCCGACATACACTAAAAAGAATGCATTCATTTAGTGTTCTTCCATTTACATTTTACACATTATCCCTCAGGCTATTCATTAACTTTTCAAATAGTACATGAGAATACCATCAATCAAGGGGCTTCCTGACATCAATCAAGGGGCATCAATCTAAGTGCATCTTATATTTGTCTCTCCATACCCTTTTTCAATCATCACACTTGCATTCTTATTCACCCAACCTTATCTACATCCCTTTCCTTTTCTTGCTTCTATTCTTTCTTTACTCGTAGCTCTCAGGAGTTTCTACATCCTTATTATATACAACTGAGCTGCAACCAAAACAACTCCATTATCAATGGTGCTTCATTAAGGCCTCTCTATTGGAGTTCATATTCCAGCCACGGTTATCTACTCACCTCGAGTTCTGAAGCTTCTTCAACTTGTCTCTCCACATCGCTGCAAAATGTGATTCCAGAAAAGGAAATATAAAATTGAGGAGTCTGCAAAGCAGAATGAACATAGGTGGCATCCCGAACTTTGAATACCTGCATCGATGTACCTTTCCTCTTTAGACGCCAAATCCATATTCCTCACTAGTTTAAGTTCCTCCGATACAGGATCTGGTCCCTCTGGAGCGCTGAACAAGAACAGCCACCATGTGGTTAGCAACCGTGACAGAGTCACACACACACTAGTAACCCAGGAGATTCATCGACAAACTAAAAACCTGTCAAGGATAACGTTGAAAATAGGTTTTGTGCTCTGTGGTCTGCCTCCATAACCAATCCTGATAGCATCTTCTAGGACTATTGCTTTATTCACATATATTGGAGCCTGTGATATGACAAACATAAACAGGATAAGTTTCCTCTGACTGAGAAAAAGAGAATCAGAGAGATTAAGTGCTTCAAAAGAGTAAACTGGTAAAAGCGTGTCAGAACCCGGGGGTATCAGACCTGGCATGTTCTTGCAACGTTGATGGCATCTGATGGCCGTGAATCAATGCATATAACATCATTGTCTCCTGGCTGCAGTAGAGATGGTTAGCCCAAGGCAATAACGACTTTTGACAATCCGTTTCCTAACAAAGAGGATGTTTAGCCTTTAAATTACCTTGCCGAGACATAGACTTGCATAGTAAGTGTTGAATACTCTACTTGTAAGCTTCACCATTTTAACCTGCCAAAAATACAGTACAACTTGCTAACTAAGCGGCGACCAGCTATATCAATGCTCTAATTCAAGGCTATATACTTAGAATAGGTATGCTGGGAACGATACTATACTTCATGTCCAAGCTTGTCGACAACAGCAGACACAAACTGGAACGGATCAGGGCATCCCTACAAGATAAAAGGAAAGAAATACTAGCTTGATGAGTGGGAATGGAACTGCAAACATCAAAAGCGTTACACATGACATGAGCAGGGCGATACCACATTCTCGCCTTGGAGGGGTACGTCTAATAGTTTCTCAACAGCAGCATCACCTGCAAGTGAAAGTTAGCAGCAGCAGTATGTATAGAGAAGAAGGAGAAAAATGTGTAGAGAATGAATGAATTCATGTACTACATACCAACAATAACGGGAAGCAAGTAGTCACCATCACAGGAGATCTTGAGAAAAATAGTGGGGTGCTTGAACTGACGAAGAAAGCCAATTCCAATGGGTAAAACACCAACCCTGGATTCACTAGCTCTTACAGCAAATGGAGGTAGAGGCCTAGAAGCTTTCCACATGGAATCTTCTCGGAATCCATGTCTCCGCATTTTGTAATGCATACTTGTCTCTGTATTTATTTATTTGGTTAAAACCAGATCAGCAATGAAAAATTGAAAAATGAAGCCAATGGATTCCTTCTATCAGCCAATCAGTTCAGGTAAAGACGAGATCTACGTTAGTTGAATTCTTCGTAACAAATTCCATAATTGAAATCACGATTGATACCCTAAAATGGGTCGGAGTTGGGAACGTAACGGATTCGAAAAAATGAAAAATGTAAGAAAGTCACATTGGACCTGCAACGAGGACAGAGGCCTGGAGAAACTCGAGATCGGGATCCCCTAGGCCGGATCGGGAGGAGGAGCTTCCATGGGTAGAATCGCAACAAATATGAGAAAGCTTATGGGGACGATGCCGTCTGAGATTCAATGGGATACAACATCGAGAGGAGGAGGGCGAATTGGAAGAT